GATGAACTGCCACCAAGCTTTTCAGAGGTCTTTCCTCTTCCAAACAGTATCAGTACTGACCTCTAAACTCACTTTTTTCTCTTACTATTGTTTGCAACATTAGGTTCCATAGTCATTCATCTTCCTATTGACAGCCATACTCTTACTCTATAAATAAATGATGCAGTTGATTTTGTGCAGACCAAGCTTGCTGGTTTTGAGGCTTACTAAAGAATGTGCTGAGCTAGGGTCATATTGTCCTAGTATCTAGATGTGCTGTTCTCCAAAGCACTAGTTGCTTTCTTCTTCAAAGAGGGCAGAGATAAAAATTCCCTTTAAATGTGTCTTTTCTGTATGCTTCTTAACTAAGAAACTAGAAAAAGAGGAGGTTATTCAGCATTTCTGATGAAGGCATGCTGCCTGCATGTATATTGCATTGAAAGAGTACTCCTTGGGAGTGATTAGAATTAGTCACAGAGATGAAATGGATGTGGATAGAATTGGCTAGCAACCTTCTGAAAGCCTTCCTCTTTCTTTGATATTTTTCTTGTAGTTTTGAAGTACATCACTATGAAGTTTGATATTTTATTAACAATAATTGTATTTCCCTCTTTTCATTTGAGGATTTCAAAGAGTTTTAGAAGCATTAATTGCATATCTGCCCCCTGACTTCTATGAAGAAAGTGAAAATAAGGTCTTGTCAAATATGTTAGTTGAAAAAAAATGTATTAAACTGAGAATAAGCAGCTCAGTTGTGATTATTAAGTCAACTCTGTTCACAACACTTGTACTGGCTTGTAATGTACAAGCCTAGTAACTTCCTAGTTTGTACATTCTTGTTCTTCAGAGATGATGACTGCCTCTCTGAAAACTGTAAAGATTGCTGAGCAGCTCTGCATAGAACCATCTTCTGGGCTGGAAAGCCCACTAAGAAATGGTCAGAGAGCCTTGGTGCAGCCAGTCACTGAGGCATTAAGAGGCATTCTGAACTTGGGCACATGTTATTATCTGTACGTACTTCATCATGGAAGGCAGCAAAATTTATATTTTTTATATTAACATGTAATACTTGTATTAATATGTTTATTTATTTATATTTATCAGGGAGTGTCCTGGAAGCTGCTTCCATTAGGAAACCCTATCCCATTATGTCTGTGCCCTGCATGGGGAGGTAGGGAAAGTGTCCTTAGTGAACTTGAATAGCAGTGGTATTTCTAGGGAAGATAAACTGTAAAAGAATTGGGATATGGAGAGTAACACATGTGCCAGACTCCTGATCAGAGGTAACCCAGAGCCTCATAGTCTTCGACATTCATACTCTGTCCTCCACAGTGCCTGGCTGGCAGGCATTCCCTCTTCAGTATGCAGAAGGCGTTCTATGATGGGAACCTTTCTCTGGTACTGTTGCTGATAAAATGTATTTCTCCTTGGAGAGTTTTCTTATTTAAATGTGAAGATGTAACTGAATTTAAACTGCAAATATTGACAACCCTTAAGCTGAACATCTGAATAGGTTTACAGGTGAAGAGCTATAAATTTGGGCTTTTTATAAGTGAGCCCAAAGGGGCTTTGCTCTTCACAGCCTGGCTTTCTGTCTCTCACTGTAGTTCTCATCAGGAAAGCCATTTCAGAGTGTCCAGCGTACAATTCACTTACTGTGATCTTTACACTTTAAAAATCCTTCATTCCCTGCTCCTCTAATGCTTTGCTTCCTGAGAAACCAAAAATGAGATGGAAAGTCAGCACGTTAACACTTGGCATTTGTTTAGCACCTGCTTGCAGATGTGTCTGAATATTAAGAAGAAATGTGCATGGTGTTCAACAGAATAAAAGGTGTTCAGATGTGCGTGAACAAGCAGGAGGAAATATAGATATGAACATGTAGGAGGGGAAAGACTATTACAAGGGCAATCCAATTAATGCAAATGATGCATGCAGATGTCTTTGGCTTTTTTTAGTACCTTTCACTGGTATACTCCATATGAGCTAGGGACCAGGGACAAGAGTGCTGTCTTCCTCTGCATGGCAGCAGTACTTTCAAACCTTAGCATCACACTCCTGCCTGCAGATGATGAGGGGACACTTTCTCTTACTTGCCTGTGTAGCTTTGAAACATGAACAGTAAAACAGCTACTCAAACAAAAGATGCATTCATGAGGTAACTAGATTTGCCTTCAGCAAACAACTGTGTACCTGTTGACTCCTGGCACTTCAAGGGAATACTGTTATTGCTTTAGAATTCAAACATGATAACTGAAAGAGAGTCCCAGTTTTTTTAGGCTGTATGCTCAGGGCCAGCCTGTTTGATTTACTTTGGCATTGACTTAACAGGACTGTTCACCTAAAGAAGGCGGGATTAGGGTTTGAAAATAGACATTCAGCTACGTATTGATCGCTGGAGCTGGATCTAGTCCTCCATCCTCATGATGCACCTTCTGAAAAAATGGCTTCTACGCTTATCTTGGCAACTGATATATTGTGAATGATGACTTTTATTAAAAAGAGGACCTGTCCGCTTGGTTTTTCAGATGAGGCACATGGCAAACTCAAGTATATGGCCTGAGCAGTCCCAAATTTTTACTTTTCTTCCTTCCCTTATAAAATCTCCTTCTCAAGAGACAGTCCAGGTGGTGACCCTGCTCTCCTGAAGTCAACAGAAACTTTGTTGTTGATTCTGGTGGATGCAGGCCCATCACCTTAAGCACTATAGGAAACCCATGAAAATTTCCCCTGCTTAATCCAAAGAGTTTTGGCTAGGGCCGTAGATCTAATAAATAAATACATTATTTTTGAATTAAAAACCTCTTTTCACAAAATCTTTTCTGTCAACCCCTGGCCATCTGCTTATCATCCCCAAGCATTGTCATGCAATGTGTTTTATAGACCAATATTTTGAAATGCAGTGGCATGGCCAATTTACTTTCTCTGTTTGTGTATTTATTTTCCATATTAACTTACAGAGAAGTTTCTGTCCTACAAGCTGGTAGCTGCTTTCATTGTTTTTTTTTTTATGTTTATTATGATATGGGTATTGGGTACTTGCATGAAAATTCGGAGTCTGCCAATAGCTTATTACTGTGTAAGATGCTTTTATGCTGTCTTCAACATTTTTAACATTCTGTAAAATACCTTATGCATTCTTCTGCTGTAGCATATTCTGCTTAAAAGTGCAGTGGAGTTTTTCCTCAGGGAAAAAGAAAGAACAGCCCCGAAAGATCCTTATATATATATATTTTTCTTTTACTGCGTTGTGTGTGTTGAGTGCACAAATAGAAAACTAAATTTCCTTTCCTGGATTGCATATACGTAGATTCTTGTCCATTGAGGTTGTTACGGGTACAAATTTGGCAACAAAAGTTGGACAGCACTTTAGTTAAAATACTTGGTCAAACCAAATCACAAGCAAGCAAAGGAACATTGCCAAGAAAACCTTTTAAAAAGTTATGTATTATATATTTGAATACTCTCCTTTTATTTTTGAACACTGCCCCCCCCCCCCCCCCCCCCCCCACACACACACTTAGAAGCCTAAATTGCACTGCTAACTCTTTTGGAGGTTGAAGATTTCTCACTTACTCAACTCATTGAAATTTTGGCCCCCAAAATACAGTGATCTTAGTCACTCAATAACATTTCATCAATAAGGATGTGAGCTTGGCCATATTGCACCAGACCGAGGTGTTCTATATCTTAAAATTCTGTGTCTGGTATTAGTAACTGATGCTGTAAAGCCCACACCCCCACATCCACCCCCCCCCCAAAAAAAAAAACAAAACAACACAGCAAGGGAAGCATGAAGTGAGTATGAAACAGGGCAATCCCCCAGGCTTGTCACTTGAGGATTGTCTGTTTCTGAGGAATGCTCTCCCTTTTACCTTCTATTCTCCCATCTTCTGTGCCTTTGATATTACCCCCACCTACACCAATATCTGTACTGCAGTCTCTTGTCATATAAGGAGTCTGTACTGCTTTGATGGTGAATATTTTTATTATTCTCTGTGTTGTCTCTCTGTCTAGCTCACTTATAAAAAAACTCACCCTGTTCTGTAGTGCTGTTAATTTACAAGGCGCTTTACAAACACTGATAAGGGCCATCCAAGGCTCTACTCTAAATAAGACTAGACAAATGAAAGATGAAGCACTTGAAGGCTATTCAGGAAAGTGAGGACATGGAAATGACTTATGCAAAGAGGAAAGGGGTTTTGTGAAATGGGGTTTCTGAGAAAGCAATTTACACAAGGCAGAGAGTAAGTTTGGCAGTGGAGAAAAATGGTCAGGTGCAAGGAGCAGTGGACGTAATATATGAAGGTAGGAGCAAGGAAAGGAGAGGAAGGATAAAATAAACTCGGAAATAGGGAACAGTGAGTTGTGAGGAAATCCACTTGAGAGGAAAACAGTAATTTGAGTGTGAGTATCTCAGGTTTCTTCAAAATGGTCTGGGATGAAATTTGAGAAATCTTTATAGTTTGTTGGGTTGCTTTGTTTTCTTGTCTATTAACAAAACTTGACTATCTATGACACCTTTTCAGTCTACTTTGCTCTTAGCCCACACGCAATGATAGACATAGTTAGTGGTGCTTACGTGTATGTTAGAAAGTTTCCCTATTATTTAGATAAGTCTCCCTTGCACTAAATATTACCCAATCCATTGTGTTCATTTATGAGGGAAGGAATTAAATATAAAACCTGATGCAAGACAGGAAGCCAAAGGCAGGAAGGGTGTGCTCTGTCTCTGCATGTCTCCTTCTCTAATCCATCTAATTGACTACTCCAATCTCTTTTTTTCCCTATGGCTTTGTAAACGCCAGGGAAGACAGATTGAAAAATTGACTTGTTATGATGAACTTATCTTTATTAATAAGAATAGAATAAACTTGGGGAATAACTGAGAGTCTACAAGATGCTTTGCCCCTTTGTCTTCCTGGGATGTTTGAGAGATTCAGTATCTTGTATGAACTGGCTTTTTCTTGATGCACTGATGTTTTGCTTTGCTCTCCATCACTTATCTCTGCAATTAATAGGCCAGCACCAAGTCAAGCAAGGGACATGTGAAGTTGTGGCAGTGCATCGTTGCTGCAATAAGAACCGTATTGAAGAACGATCACAAACAGTCAAGTGTTCCTGCTTCCCGGGGCAGGTGGCAGGTACAACAAGGGCTCAGCCCTCGTGTGTGGAAGGTAAGCAGTCTCCTGCTCGCTCATAGTTCATTAAGATTGAGAGTTTGTTCTCCTTGATTATTTGACTTCCCACTGCCTCAAAAGTATAATCCTTCCTTTTGTTAATTTTGGAGACATCTCTGTGCATTGATGATAATGAGCCTGTGCATAAATCTGGATGTAATTAATCCCCTTAATATATGTACTCGTCTATTTCATGTCTGTGCCAATAAAACTCAGCTTTTTCACACAAGAACTGTTTAAAACTAGTCTGAGAACAGCATAAGCCAAGAAATTCAAGCTTATAATATTAACTCTTCCAGATGTCTTTAGACTTATTAACTTGGCTTAAAATAATAATAATATAATAAATGCAGCCCTAAGACTGAGCATGCAGATAGTGCTGAGACATCTGAGTTTGAGAGCTGTTCTCTAGATGAATGTTTTATCATTTCATGTGCCAGATGGTCTCTTATGCTGGGCATCAGTGTAACAGTGATGCCCCATGTCTATTCAGTTTCACGTGTTGTAACCCCAAATACTTCAGTATACACTGCTATACAGGACACAGTGTCTGAGCTAGAGCACATGCCTGATGAAGCAAAAATGTGGTACAGTTGCCTTAGTCCGTCACCTTCCTGAGTGATGGACTTTAGCTGGACTCCTCACAGGGTTCAATGTTGGCATCCTTACACTTTTAGCAGTATAACTCATTTGAAATTAAATTTATTATATACACTAAAGACAAAATCTTACCTTGATCATGATGTTGACCAGGCATCCTGAGGCTATATAAAACTTGCCTCCTCAACATTCATTCTGCACTTCACCCTAAATTTCCTCTCTGGCTTACCAGCAGTTCAGAAACTGTGGGTTACCCTTCTTCCTTTTCCACCATCAGAATCTATTCACTGGAGAGGCTGCTGATCTTGTTAACTTAGCAAGCAAGTTACTGGATCCCCTATTTCATGAATTCATAAGCAAGACTCTTCTGTTTTCATTCTTTTTCACACAAGAATTGCAACTACTTCAAGTTAAATATAAAAGAAAAACCTTCAAAGGTATTTAATTTTAAACATAAAACTCAAAATACATGTGATGTCTGATTTATTTTTTTATCTTTTTTAAATCTATTACCTGTTTTAAGAACCTCTTATTTAAGAAAGGATTTTTAAAATTATTATTTACATGCTTAGCATTTTCATGCCTTGTAATTCAGGAACACAATCAGCTTTAACTGTGCAATTTGTTAAGTAGTTTTCTTGTCAGATTAGAAGTACATTCTGTATTTTTAGGTGACACATCAAACAGCAGAAACACTTTTGCATATACAACAGATATTAAAAGTCACTCATTGTTTTAAACTTCCTTAAGGATTGCAAAGGTGACACTCATTCTATGATAGATATAAATGTACAATATCTTGAAGCTTAATTCAGTCAATGCAAATAGTTGCTGAAAGAATTTAGTAACTGTTTTTTCCTTCAAGTATAGTTGAAATTAAGTGCAGCAAAATATTATGAATGTAAGATTTTGGTTTCTAAAGTAGAACCCTTTGATTCTACCTCAACCCTTAGGGTAACGCTTTAGCACACTTTGCTTATTTTTGCAAGTATCTGGGACTACAGTCAGTTGTTGTAGCACAGAAACGATAACTATCTTTCCTTAGCCTCAGGATTAGATGTTTTCTCCTGCTTTGTACATATCCTTCAGTAGGCTTCTATACTGTAGAAACCAGAAACAGTTGATGCCTCAAATTTGCATATTTCATTTTTATATAGACATTTTATTTTCTTTTCCAGCACTTTTTTCCTGAATACAGGGCTGTTTATTTTGCCTATATTTTGCCCTGAGATTAAAGGGAACAACATGCACAAAGCAGAGTTACTTTTCCTGCCAAAAGAAAAGATTATATAGAGCAGCTGACTTGTAGCATTCTTTGAAAGCATTTTCTTTGAACTTCAGACTCCATCCAGTAGTAGTTATCACTACAGTAGGGCAGCAATTTTTTTCTGTGCTGTTGATTAGGCATGGCATGCATGTGGTGGTTGGTACCTACAGTTCCTACACAGAATCATAGAATGTCTCAAGTTGGAAGAGACCCAGAAGATCCTGTTTTTTAATTTAGTTGAGTATTTCCTCTTAGTTTTCTCAGTCTTGAAGCATATGGGTCTCCTGACCTAAATCCCACTGGCTTTCAGCAACAGCTTGTTTGTTAATTTAGGTGGGGTAGAGCCTACTTCATCAGGCAGAGCTGCTAGTTGATAAGTATTGGGCATTGTGGACTTTCATATATATAGGCCATGAAAAAGGCTTATGAAGCCCATCATTACATTTTTTAGCGTCAGCCATAGGCCAGCCAGATATTTACATTCTGAAATAGGTTGACAGATGCTAAAGAATTTTACACAAGTTCAGATTTAAAGCAGCAGTTTATTGGAGCAGCACTGTACATAAGGCTAAGCCTGGCTCAAAGAGGTAGTGAATGTATATACCAATATTCACAGCTACCTAAATTTCAGGAAGGCTTCTTATTTGAGCCATGTCAGAATACAGTTTTGAGTAATTACTTTTGAGCATACACCTATACATAGAAGTGACTTTTTTTTCCTCAAGTTATGTGCTATGGAGGAAAACAAGTACTTGTGTTACTGAAGAAATAGACATCCAAGTGAGTTCCAAGGAAAAGGTGCTGAAGTGGTACATAAAGGAAAATAAAAGCTAGTTAAATCTTGCAAATACATGAAATGAAAGTCTTTACTGTCTTTGATTGCTCCAAATCAGTCCTTTCCCATGTTGTGCAAGTAACACTGTGTCGTGGCACCTAACTGACATTTATAGAGTGCTTTGCATTTCGAGAGTGCCTTTCACCTCAGAAACTTTAAATATTGGCAAAGTACTCCATTTAAAAAGGATATGGAGGTGAAAATCAATGTTCATTATAGACTGAGATCTTCCTAGCATTTTTACAAGCACAGTATGATCACTCGTAGCCTAGACGAGAGAACAGGGCAAAAACTCTTTGGATATTCAGACTGTTTTTCTTATCTTTTGCCCATGTTAACATACTTACTTAGATAGTTGCATTTTGGATGCATCCAACAAGCAATTCTGTCATTTGTGTATTTTAACTTAGTTGTGAAAGCTATTGACAAGCATTGGCAAACAAAAGAGCACAGCTAGTTCTTCTGTACACATGCACACCTTATTTTCCTGGGGGTTATTTGAGCTTCCAAGCACAGGCCCATCTAATACTTTGGGAAATGCTGCTGTAGATAAATTGAGCCACTACACTCAGAAAAAAAGCAAAGCATACACAAAAAAGCATTTAAATATGCAGAGAGGACATATCACACAGTCTCTATACCCTGCTTTGAGTTGTAGCAATAGTTATTTGAATGCAGCTACAGAAAATTTTGTTTAGTAAAGGTCAACCCACTTTTCTGTCAATGAATGAATTACATTGAAAGTAGTAGTGAGGTTTTGTTTATACCCATTTTCTTTATGGAAATAAATATCCTTGAGTAAGTACCTCCAGCTTGTCTAACAGCTACTGCCAAGGAGATAAAACATTAATAACTTGTGTCTGTGGAGTAGCTATCTTAGCTAAGTGCATTAAATGCCTCTAAGTAAATCATCACTAGCCAAGTCATCTTCCATCCAGGCAATTCTATTATTCCTAGAATTTATGAAGAATCATACAGATTGGAAGAAAATGTGAATAGAACTGAAGAATTGTTTGAGAATTTTCTGTAGGGCCAAAGAGCTGCAATGAAGGAAAAAGACAATTTTGGCTGATAGCCCATCTGTGTTACAGACTGAAAGGAAGAGAGCATATAGAAACAAGAACACAAAAATCCAATACATAAGAAACAGATAAGAGAAGAAATAGTCGAGAAGATTTATCTCCCACTGTTTTTGAATGGTTCTCAGAATACTTGGGAACCATGCTAATGCCATGTTAGTATTCAAAGAATAAAGGGAAATAGACAGTAGAATGCAGAGTGTACTGAATTTTTTTATGGAAGAAACCTTAACCCAGTGGAGTAGGAAAGGCATCTGTATTTGTCCAGACTAAAGGCAGTATGAATTTAGTTGTTCAAGCAGAGCACACAGAAATCCTTAAAAAAGAAATTATTGGCCCATAATGCATGAAATATTACATTGTTAAGGCGTATCAATATCACAGCTCTTTTGGTAAGTAACAGATTAGAGAGGTATTTTCTAACTTATTGTTAACTGAAGAGGGTGCTAAGCAACATCTACTAATATTAAACTTTTTCCCCATTCTGACCTTGAGGTCCTGACAAGCTGGCTTGTATGTCTCTGGTCAGTTGCTGTAATTCAAAATGTATTTCAGAATACTTGGGGGTATTCTAGAAGAGCACTAGTACTGTGTCAGTTTTGAGAGCGTAGGCAGCATTGTCTAGATACTTAGGCACAACTAAGGCTGATCTCGACCCTGTGTGGCTAACTGAGAAGCTGATGTGGTATCAAATGAGCAAGGAATTCCTGGAGTAAAGACCACAAAACTTTATGTAGTTTTCTGAAAAGAGATTTGCCAGACCCAACTGATTTCATTTTCTGAGGAGTTTCTGAGACTCAATACAGATAGTTTTGGGTTTAAAATATTTAAGCCCAGGTTTTCCAAGTTACCTTGGAAGATAATGTAAAATTTACTTAATGAAAGGTTTGTTTACTAAATACATTTGAGGATTTAAATCTTTTCTTCCCACACCTACTTGGATTTCACAATGCACCTGACACTGCAACATTTTCAACAGTGGCATGAAAGCAAATATAGAATCTCGCCTAACAAAAAGCTTATGTTTGGGCTTCATCTGGTGGGGCAAAGGAGTAATTAATGACAAGCACAAGGCAGTCTAGAGGCATAGTCCTACTCGCAGGAAGTGGAACATCTTTGAAATGACTGCATTAATAAAGACAAACGAATTGTGGTGTGAAACTGAAGAAGTTCAATCAGCTCACCTTATCAGGCAGAATATTGAAAAGTTACTGGATTGCAGCACATAATACCTTCACAGGGAGAAAATTATGATGACTAACAGGTGCTGTAATGTAAGAGTAGAAAGTATGACAAAAAAGGTGGGAAGAGGCAAAAAACTAAGGCAGTGTGTTTCATGCTGAGATGGTTTAACTGTCAAAAAAAATACAGTAGGAGAAGTTTCTTCACCTTTTCCAGATTGGGTGTAGCCAAACACAATTGGGTGCACAACCAGTGAATTGCGTGAGGCAAGATGAGATGGTGTATTGACATCTAACTCTCTATGAACCTACTCTTTCCATGGTGTCACACTATCTAGGGAGTGGTGTCAGCAGAAGATTTATTTCTCGAAGGGTTTCTGGCTGCTTTCCAGCAAATCAGCTGGCTAATGTCAAACTAAAGCAGTCTGCCTTCGTGTGGGTGGTTGTGTATGAGAGTGACATAGCTGCTCTGGTTTAAACCTCTCCGTGAGTGCCTCTATTTGAAAAGAGAACAAAACTGATATCCTCCAGGGAGTTGCACAGGGACAATGATAGTCAAAGAACTCTAGCTCTGAAGAGGAGCCTAATGGCTGCAATGGAGAATTTTAATGGACTAATCTCAGGAGTCTGTTCTACACAAATAACTACAGCCCATTAGGACATACAGACCAGCAGATTGGACATTACAACCACAAAGAAATTGGACATGAAACAGACGTAAGAATTAGTGGATTCTAGGTGCCTGTGGGAGACAGGGGAGCAAGAGGTGGTTTTCAAGGTCTGAAGCTGAACTTTTGTTTTTAAGGTAGCACTAAATACGTGAAAGCATGCTCACATGTCAGAGTTCAGGTGAAGCCTCCGCATGTCACCACATTCACACTCACAACAGTACTGTGCAGAGCTGTGTAATGCAGTAGCTGGGCCTCCCAGGAGCACTTGCTGGCTTTGAAGCAGAGCTCTGAAGATACAGGTAGCTTGCTACCAGGATCTCCTGCTTGGTTAGGGACCTCTGCACATGCCCTTGGTCTTCTTGAATCTGGCCTTCTAGGCTTGCTCTTGTTTACCTGAAATAAATGTGCTATAGTAATTGAAAAAAATATAGAAAGTAGCAGAAGTAAAATGGGTGACTAGCCCATAGATCTGGAGTGGAAATGATCTCTCACCTCCTAGGAAGCACAGTCAAGTTTCACTCATTTTGTCAACAGTAATCAGCATCAAGGATCTAAGAACCAAATAGCTGGTGAAAGGAGTTATAAATTTATTTTATACATTTATGAGATTGAAAGAATAGTTTAGACAAGCCAAACTGGTATTCCAGAAGTATATTTTTCATAGTGCTTTTCACATAGGCTTAGAGTGAAAGTGTAAAACAAAGTAATTGAATGAACATTTCAGCAATATCTTGATGTCAGCTTGCCTGCTTGTCACCCTAATTGAAAGATTGCAGAAGTATGACTCTACCTTGAAATTAAAAGGAGAATAAGTGATTTATAAGCAGTAGACTAATTTTTTTGTTCATCTCTTTTGGATGTCGTAGCTTTTAAAGCATGCAATTCAATATTTTGTGCGCATAGTAGCACAATGTACATGAACTAAATCAAGATTTTAAGCCATATTTTATTTTGAAATCCAATTTAGATTATGAGAGATTGTGAACTGATATATTTCATGGTAATTTTCTGTGATTTGAGGAATTTCATGAGCAGTGCAAAGCAGAACTTCATGCAGATGTTTGCAGCTGTTTGTGGGAAAGTGTATCTGTTGTTAACAGCAGTATTATGAAGTCACGACTACATTTGTAGAAATAACAACCATGGTGTTATTAATGGAAACTGGCTTAAGGATTTGAAAATTAATAAATTTGCACAGTTAAGGTGTATTATGGTAGTGTTCCAAACGAAACTGCAAAACTGGCAGTGTAATTGCAAGTAGATTTTTAGTTAATAATCTAATGCTTTCCAGTGGTTTCCACATTCTTATCTGCACTATTTGCTGACAGGCTTCACATGCTTACATCTCTGTGCAATTCTATTTTCTCACCCAGTGAAGGGAGAAACTGGCATTTCTTCATCCAGTCTTGCATACGCATATCCAGGTTAAACAAGAAGCTTTAGTTTCACTCTGCCTTATAGCAGGTACTTAACTGAAGCATATAGATGAAGGAGGCAGGTCATCTTTGGAGTCAGTTGAGATGGCAAGGCACTTCCAGAGATCAATTCAAATGCTGGAATCAGTCTCTGGTGGTGCTTGCCTGTCTTCACCATTTGCGTATAGGATTTACCCTTCTGTGGTTGGTTGTGTGTAGCCCATTTTTAGCTCAACTGCAATCAGTGTGATTAACTATTAAAACAGTAACTGGTGGTTCTACCTTTTGAAATCAAACAATTGAACACTGCATAGATAACCTCCTTACTGAAACCAACAGTAATTAAAACCAGATTGTCTTCTGTTTCTCTTTCCTATTTCTTTTTCTAGCTTCCATCGTCCTACAGAAGTGGTGGTGTCATATGAACCCCTGTTTGGATGGAGAGGACTGTAAAGTACTACCAGACTATTCAGGTTGGTCTTGCAGCAGTGGAAATAAAATCAAAACCACAAAGGCAAGTACAGAGATCACCTATATTTAAAGGTGGCAGTCTGCTGAGAGCACTTATTGCATTGCAACTGTGGGTGTGAGCACCAGCACTAGGCTCCTCAATTGTTCTCAGAGAGGGAAATATTGCATTAGAACTTCACTGTCAACCTAGTGAAGTTACTGGATGCTGGAAACAAACTGAAGAAAGGCCTGATTCAGTCTTTAGTGAGCAAAGAAGCTATTACATTGTGACTAGGGCTAGAGGGATAACTGTGTTCTGGGATTAACTCTTTAATTTGCAGGCAGTGTATATGGATCCAAGGTCTTTATCAGCATCATGTGAAGTTAGAATCCTGTGCTACTGGAAAGCCCTTTTACCTTTTCAAAGCAGCAGCCTGTCTTGGGAGTTACTGAGAATTTGCACTGAACGTCAGTGGGAACTATGGGACTTAGCACACTGGAAACCAGTTTGGTTTAGATTGTTTCTAGTTACAGGCCACCCTGTAGATAGCCTATTTCTTCAAAAAAACCCTTTGTATGCCAGCCTATTTCTTAATTAATGAAGAGCAAAGAGAAAATATCATGTCTTCTGTCTGCTTAAAATCTAGAATGAGTTCAGTGCATTGAAGTTCAATAAGTCATAGCAAACTGCATATTGAAATATATCATAAAACAGAAGTCTTTATCAGGCAATAACAAGGAAAGACATTAGCTTTTCCCTTTACAGCATCTTCTTGTTAGAAATGAATGCTGTTGATTAGGTTACAGTCTGAGTTAATAAGTGAATACTGACACCAAATGTTTAATAGAAGTTGTTCTAAGGAATGAAAACTATACAAAGTTTTGGAAGAAACAGAAAATTGGATGGTTTGGGCAGCTGTGGTGTATATGGGTAGTCTAAAGCCCTTCTACAGACATTGCACAGTGGCAGGCTTGCTGGAAAAGCTTGACCAAACCAACCGCTCTGAAAACCATATTCCTGTTTCTAAGATCAGAGGAGTTGTTGTAAATCAGTGTTATCTATCAAATGCCAAAGATGTAATCTATAGTGTGCCTAGGTTCTGCTGTTCTCCTGTGATGGATACTCCACCTGAAAGTTGACCTGAACACTCTAGAATCAGTGTAGGTAACTGGCATGTTGCAAGATCTAGATTACCCTCAGCCTTTACATTATTTTCATGGGTAATGACTTTGAACTATTCATATAGAGGTAAGATGTAGTGTTGTAGCATCACACTGAAAGGTAAGACTGGTGAAGCAGGAATTCTAGATATTGAATAAGACAACTTCATCTCTGGACATACCAGAAGAGAGCTGGACCTTATTGGAAAAGAGTAAGCGAGGGTTAAATATCCTTGATGCCTTCAATAGATACTAGAGGGATGAAGGGTAGAAGAATGAATTTTATGTTGGCGCTGGTGGCTGAAGGCTTGAGAAGAGCTGCCTTTTAGTTCATCGAGGTCAACTGCCCACACAAGTCATACAGCCTTGTGTTCATGACTCAAACACTGAAAAGAGGCATCCTGAGTCAGTGGGAGTTTACTAATAGAAGGGCAAATTTGGCATGGATCGTTTATTTTATTATCCATGACAAATATTGCAACCAGCAAACTACAGGATATGGTAATGCATTCCGTTGAGTTTAGGGATGTCTTATAAAGTTAGAGCGGGACAAATCATCCTGCCTGCAATTAGCTCTGTGCAAATTCGTCAACTCCAGTGAGTGTGTGTGGGTCTAGCAGAGGCTAAAGTATAGCAATATGAGTGCAAATGTTTAATTAAATTCTTCCTCTCCTTTGTTGGGATGCGGATTAATGTATTTTACATTGATTTTTATGACTATAGGAGATTTCTTTCAGGAACATTTAACTGAAAAGATAAGGAAACAACTGGCACTTGTGCTTAGATGTGCATCATTCTGCAGTATTACTGGCATGAAAACTGTTCATTTTCCTTGCATGGTTTTGTTTTTTCTTTTAATGCCCTGTGTTTTGGGTTTTTCATTAGAATGTGTTAGAGGTAGGACTTTTTCTTGTGAGCGTGGTTAGTAACAGCATAAGGAAGATCCTGATTCTCATGGGTGTCTTGGAGTAATGTAGTAGTATAAATACAGACGTGAATAACAAAGTTAGTGGTTGAATATTACATTGAAATGACACAAGAGGGTCATAACCTTTAATTAGTGATTGACCATGTTAGGAAAGGGAATAAGCAGACTTCCTTAAAGGGGAGATCCCTTAAAAAGGTGTCTCAGTCCTTCCCTTTTTAGTTGTTCTTTACTAGAAATTCTTCCATGGTTTGCTGTATGTGTTTTATGTGCAGACACTTCAGGGAAATAATTACTTTAATGCTTTAAAATATGGTAGTTTTTGACCCCTAAAAGCCTTGTCCATGCATTTACATAACTTGATAGTAAGCAAACCATGAAAAGTTACTTTTAGGAGACTGAGATTTAACATGGCTGTATCTTCAGTAGTAGTGACATTTACTAAAGACTGAGGTCTTGTCATACTATCACTGAGTTTACTCCTATAATTAGCTTCGAGTAATGAACCTCTTGAGAATCAATCTGAAGTAATGAAATTTGTCTTCTTTATTGGTCCAAGTGAGAAAGGACATGATTTGTCCAAGGTTGTATGGGTGGGATTTATTGTGCCCAGCTGCAGGCATTTTCCATTCAAGCTAAGTTACTTAGGATGCTCTAAAGTCACATGAGGAGAAAAGGGTGATGTCTCAGCATGACTGCCCATCCACAGGAGTGTTCCCATGAGTAATTATTTCTCTCTCCTGTACCTTAAGAAAGCTCTGGGTGACAACCTTACATGTAGATGTCTGCTTGCTAGAGAGCTGTCTAGCAGACAGCTACAGAATCTGTCCTGGCACCCATGTTTCTTCTGTAGGTATTTTCTCTGTCTTGTGGGTGGTTTTCTCTGTCTACTAAGATATAGTTGTTGCACAAATATAATGACTAATAGTAACTTCAGATTCTGAACAGAAGCTTGTGGTACAGGCAATACTGAACTGGAAGGAAAATAGAAAATAGGATGGAAAGAAAATTTCCGTTTAAAAATGAACCAAAGATTATTCCAAACTCAGCTCAATCAACAAAATACATACTAAGTGTATTATTAAAACTTTACAAGTAGGACTATGAACAGTCGGAACAGTAGTCCAAACAGTATAGCAGCCTGTGTATCTCAGTGCTGGGATACTTTAATCAGGAAAACACAGTAAAACCCTTGTGGACAATTATAGAAAACGTACACATACATGAAATTCTTCCAGTTTAATAGTTGGCTTATGTCTAAAACACGAGTTGAGATCCATTCCATGTTATCCTTTTTTCTGTTACGTACCAAAGATAATCTTATTACTCTTTACATTTCTAATCACTTTTTTTAGCTTTCTAAGACCCTGGTATCAGTGCTGGTTGGGACAGTGACTTCCACAGATTAATTATGCACTGAAAGAAGAAATGCCATTTAATCAATTTGAAGTCCTCTTTCTTTTCATTTTGTGAAAATATTAGAGTAACATGAAGTATCTGAAGCACAGGAGACTCATGATGCTACTCAGTATTTAGATGAATAGTTAGTAGCTGAGTGGCTCAGCTAAAATGTAAAAAGCTGAAGAGCTCGTATCGTACATCAGTTACCTCAGAGAAGGTGATAAAAACCTCTATGCTGAGTGTCTGTTAATTTTGTAACACATCTAGACACTACAGAGCAGAGCTGACAAAGCTTTCTTCCTTGCAGGCTGCCCATTATCATCCATGTCTAGGATGGGAAATCTGACATGACCAGTCATCACCATGTAGCCAAACCCACTGAGTTCATGCAGTGTGTATATATTAGGGCTTGCACATACATCCATGAAGCATCTGACTGAGTGTGCATAAGGGGAAGACACTGCAGGGTCCCATGGGAGAAGTCTATCTGGGACTAGCTTCTGCTGCAAGAACAATTCTTCCCCCGCATAACCTGTTCTGTCTGATCCCTAGGTCCCTGCTGTAAGATGGACCACTGTGAATGGGTAACAGTTTGCATAAATGGTCTTTTGGGATGTAGGTGGTACACACTGGTGCTGAAAATTATGATAAGCAAAATAAAGTGGAGATTGCTGTGGCAAATTGGTGGCAAATTTAATAGTGAACAGTTATTTCTTTTTCTGCAAATCTCCCTTATCCTATTGAATAACATCTACATGTACCTTCTGTTTCTCTGCAAGGTATATACATATGGCTGGGGCAAGTTAATTCATGATGCATTTGTGCGTACAGCTCCTTTGCAGCAACAAAATGTGTTATCATGCTTTGTTTGATCCATTCTGTCTAGGTAACTTTTTCCTCTTCTTTTACAGGTAACACGGTAGCAAAGAATAAACCTGTGGGTCACTACCAGAACAATGGCATGTGCAACTGTTGCTTGGCTGTTACACAAAGACCCTTTTTTGTCATGATGCTGTTGACTTAATTTTTTGAACTTGCAAAATTGGTCAGCAAAAAGGACAATATTTCTCCTTTCAACTGTGGCTAAAGTTCCCAAACTGGATTTTGCTACACAGAATGGTACATTTTGATTTCACAAGGGAAAAACAAGGAGATTTGGTTCCACAAGAAATGCACCTTGGATTCCCAAGGATCTGACACCTGACAGAAATTCGTGGAAGCACACACCTGAACTTTTGTGGTGCCTCAAGTATAAGACTTTCTTAAAGACATCAAGATATGTAAACGTGTTTTAAATGAGTTTAGATCACGAATGTAATCTAGGGGGTCATATAAAAAAAATGCTTATGTTAGAACTGATTCAGATGATCTTAAAGGTCTTTTCCAACCCAAATGATTCTATGGATTATCTGAGGTACTTCTCACATACAATAAAAATACAGAGCTTATCCCAATGCTAAGTGAGTTGACAGGACAGTGCTAGTAAATTATGTCTTGGTGTATTTTTCAACTGTGATTTAGTAGCTATCAAGGTTGTATGAAGGTGAAAAGATGAAACTTATAAATCAGTAGCAATTACTGTAGGGCATACTTTGGTTGTATTT